ACCCCCCTGCATCCCCGGACAAGCTGCCTGTGGCTCTGTCCCGGCCCCTGCCTGGGCAGCCCCTGCCTCTACCCCATTTCCTCCTTTACCATAGAGGCCTCAATCTCCCTACCTCCACAGACTTACTAGCTGAACACTGCTCTTCAAGCTGCGGGGCTGCATATCTGCAGTCAGATTGGTATTGGTTGATGTAGCTGGTTAATAATCAACCGTCAGTATTGGCCCAAAAAATCTGTATTGGTTCACCCCCACTCTGTATCTAAGTATTTGGGTAAGTCTGGTTTGGCAGTCACGCTCTGAAGGTGTGTAACACATGTCTTGGCACAGCAGATGTGCCTGGCTTTTACATACTAATGTATTGGCTGGCACATGATCAGGAAATGGGAGGCCTGGATTTTGTGCTTTCAGCCTGAGGGCATTCAGACACACTTTTTTTTTTTTTCTTCTCTTTTTAAGAGAGGGCCATAAACCCTAGGCTGAAATTACTCTTCATCTTCCTATTTGAAATTCTTCCACTGCAGCAAAGAATGAAAGTTTTCCTGGAGAAGGCTTTCTAGAACAATGATGAATGTACTTTCCTAAGAGGGAGAAATCTGGGTTCTTACCCCTGTCTTTGGAACTACTCTAGGGACTTTGTACATATTCATTGGATAAATGGTGGTGAATGTGGACTAAAACACAGTCCCCAGATTGAGGAGGGCCTAAAATACTGGTCTCCCACTTCCATTTTCCAAGTTATGCAATAATCTAGTGGTTAAACTCAAGTGAGTGGTATCACTTCTGTTACCAGCTATGTTTTACTTTTAAGGAGCTCCAATTTTCTGTTCCTAAAGAGATGATTTAAACACCTTGGTGTAGGAGCGGGGTTTGGGGCTTTAAATTTCAGGGTTGCAGAGGTGCTTTAGTTTGTAGGTGAGGCAGTTTGCCGTTTGTTAGCTTAGTTCCCTGCTCAGTGTACTGTCTGTGAAGCCATTGTTTGGTTACTTAACTGTCCCCATTCACAGTATACAGAACATTGAATTTGTAAATTTGACTCCAGGAGCTGGGCTCCTAAAAGTTTGTGCTGACTCACAGTTGCCTTGCCCAGGTCTGTGGATCTGCACCAAAGATTTTTGTTCTATGGAGTAAACTTTGAATCTTTGCCTGTTTACCCTGTCAGAACTGGACCTTTCTGTTGACCTCTTGTGACCTTAAGAGGTTATAGTAGTGACCATATAGATGCAGTTTTGTACTCTAAATTGCTGGTAATGGGATCATGTAGCTTTTAGCCTTTTAAACTGTGAATTTCAGTTTTTTAACCCAGTTTTTGTTCCTAAAAGAATAATATTTAGCGTTCCAGAAGTATCCCAACCATGTACCAAAACCTTTCAGAAGCTCATATATAGACTGGCTGCTGAATTAGATACTTTGCTGGTTTGGTTTCACTGTGGTGGTCCCACAGACCAACATTCCTTTTTGTCTAGGCCAGTGACACTCAATCTTTTTAGATTCATGGTACTTGTCCACAACCTTTTTTGAATTTGGCAGCACCCCAGTTAAGAACCATTATTTTTCTGCCGTAGCTTACCTCAGTAAGCTCTCAACTGGGACCAGGGGTGCTGCTGTTCCCACCAGGTTAGTGCCCCGCCCACCGTATGCAGAGCCAGAGTGAGAAGGGTGGTGACATGAGCATAGGCTCCTGCCTGCATTAGGGTTATCTGATAAACCTAAAGCAAGCAGGAGTGCCTGCTCTTGCTGCAGCTCTTCCTGATCCTACCTTGTGCTCTGGGTGTGTGGGGGAAGAGGTTGTACTGGAAAGGACTTAAGGCAGCAGCGTAAGCTTGTCACGGTCCTTCTCTGTCTGGGTGTGTACAAGATGGGTGGGGCAGTTCAACCTGGACACCTCTTATAGACTATGTTACTCTACCCTGCCTGATTTGTTTTCAGTCTAACATGGCTACCTCTGTCAAACAGTTGACTGCTTGACTATCTGTGGGACAAGGTGTCCTAGGCCACTAAACTGTTCCAGAGTATGGTGGACTATTTTCTCCAATTAAGAGTTTGCTCCAGCATGTGAGTAGACAACAGGATTACTTTAATGTGCCCTGGATTTTATAGTATAAAGCAGAGCAGCTATCCTATTAAAATTGCCTATAGTAGGTAGCACGTGGCTTTCTACCTGAGCAAACAGCTACCTGACTGTGAGATTGACTACAGCAATGAACACAGGACTAGCACATAACTTTATTTATACTTCTCTCTCCAGTGGTAACTGTCTGTTTATATGTCCTGACCAACTGTAGTTATACTGTAGCTTGTTCAGTGTTTTGGGCAAACATGAGTAAAACTACAGCCTGACGTCAATCTCTTGATAGTGTGAGAGCCAAGTTGGGTAACAGTTCCAGTAGCATGGAGTTGAACAGCATGTCAAGTCAGTCCAAGTTGTGCTATGCAATGGCCTCATATTGGGACTGCAAATATGTCTGTTTCCTTCACAGCTCTCTGATTCTCACAAAAGCTGAGCAGTTCTTTGGTCCCTTGCATGGGAATATGGATACTGGCCTGGACTGGACTGTACTTTGCCTGGCTGTCCACTGCTCAAGAGGGTTGTTCCATGTCCTTACTTCACCAGCCATGTCCCTCTGACACCCAGGTTGGAGAATAATTGCTACACCACACCATCTAGGCTGGGTTTCCTTGCACAAAGATGATTCTTAGGTTGGCTGTGTGACACTGTTCCCAACTTTGTAATGATTGAGCTCTACAGTGGGGAATGAATAGAGAATTTGGGCCCTTGAAGTACTCCTATATCTGTACACTGAATATTTAGTGTAATCTCCGTAACAACAGCATTAATGCAGAACAGTGTATTCAAAGCAGGCTTAATATTTTGTTAAGCTAATTCAGTTGCCTATAAAACTAAAACCAATCTTTGTCTCCCTTTGTGTTTTACTAATATTAAAATTACACATTTTCCCCATGTCATTTTGCAATAAAATATTGTTTCCCTTGTGCTGTCTGTAGGTGCAGTATTGACTGGAAGAAAGGAAAAAATGTTACAGTTAAAACAATCAAGAAGAAGCAGAAACACAAGGGTCGGGGCACAGTTCGAACAATTACTAAACAAGTCCCCAATGACTCGTTCTTTAACTTCTTCAACCCAATAAAAGGTAAGCTTGGGCTGTAGAAAGGGATTATTGGGACTTCTATGAATTACATGAACTCTATTCTTATCAAATTGGCTTGTTTATCTTGGCTATACTTATAGATTCATTAACCATGCTGTCTGTACTGCAGATGTGTTCCTTTGAATATGTTCATGTATACACACCTCATTTGAAGTGGCTAAATCGGATCTAAAGTAGTGGGATATGCATTTGGCAAGCAGTAGAGTACTGCTATTAGACTTCAGTTGATCACTTCCCTGAATCCATCATTTAGAACAGTGATTCTCATTTAGATCCTTTAAGAGGTGCCATCTGGTGCCATGCAATATTAACGTTGTTAGTGTTGCAAGCATGATTTACAAGATAAACCCAGAGATTTCAAATAGAATTGATAGTGTTAAATACATTCTGTCCTGTTGTGGTCTTTCCAAATTGTTTGTAACAGAAGTTGCTCTTAATTTTTTTCTTGAGTGCAGAAAAATAACTAAGATTTGGCACGTTCTGAAAGGGGCTTGAATCTAACAAAGTTGAGAACCACTGATCTAGAGTCTGAAGTGAGAACCAAGGAGCGGAACAAAAAAGCTGCTGTCTGCTAACAACTAAACAGTAGGGCTGTGCAAAATTTCACCAGGTGTTTCATTTCAAAGCTGTTTTGTTGCATTTTAAGCTCAAAACAGTGAAATCGAAATGAAACCAAAACCTTCTAAATGAAACGAGGGCACTCGAAACGTTTTGAGTTTTGAAGCCGGGCTTGGCCTCAGCACAGTAGCAGCCTCCTGTCATCCCACACAGGTCCAGGTGCCGTGTCCCCCGGGAGGATTCTGGCACTGCCCCCAGTCCTCCCAGGGGGTGCTGGCCCCCGGATTTGCACATCGGATGACAGCATGCTGCCGCTGCTGGCTGGGACCAGCGGCAGCACCAAACTTCCGGACGTTGGGTGTGGGTTGCGCCCAGCGTTGGTTTCAGTCAGCAGTAGCAGCCTCCTGTGATCCAGCAGGCAGATTGGGGGCCCGCTTGCACCCCCAGGAGGAGTCTGGCAGAGCCCTGCAGCCCTTCCAGGGGTGCAGGCCCCCAGTCTGCCTGTTGGATAACACGAGGCTGCTCCTGCTGCCTGGGACTGGTGCTGGGCATAGCCCGTACCCAGCGCCAGGAAGATTGGTGCTGCTATTTGTCCCAGGCAACGGGAGCAGCATCCTGTGATCTGGCAGGCAGATTTGGGGCCCGTAACCCTGGGAGGGCTGTGGGGCTCTGGTGGACTCCTCCCAGGGGTGTGGGTGGGCCCCTGATCTGCCTGCCAGATGACAGGAGGCTGCTGCTGCTGGCAAGTGACAGTTTTGCTTGTCAGCAACTTGAGGTGCAGTTTCCTAGAAACCTCTGCACCTATCTTCTTGAAACTTGACAGGCTTCATGCCCTCAGAAGGGGCTACTATCCCTGCAAGTTTCGTCCAAGTCAGGGTAGAAATGACAAACTTATAGGCAGCTTTGTGCTTCCCCGTTATAGTCTATGGTCGAAATGTTGAAACAGTTTTGATGAAATGAAACTCTAAACAAAACACTGTTCCATCAAAACAGAAGATGAAGCAGAATGGTGCTGTTTCCTACAGCCGTATTAAACAGGGAGAGAGAGTTAGTAATCTGAGGTGTAGCTAAAGATGCTAGAACAGCTAACTTTTGTTTTTACCTGATGTCATAGGAACGTAATCTGGGTGGAATATAGTATAAACAGGATTTCAAGCACAGTTTAATGTAGTCTGGCTGTTTTGTTCTTAATACTATCAGTTTGGGTCTTAATACTGTACAGCGTGGCTCTATACTGCCATTCTAGATTTAAAGGATGAGACGCACAGTTTAAAAATTAAACTCTATCACACTGATCGTAAGCTATATTCTTGCTTTCTCTGAGAGTCCCCCTACCCCCACTCCTGCAGTTGTTTTGTGGACCAGATCTGACCATAGGTTGCCACACCCTGCTCTACTAGCCTTGTTCAAAGTATTATGTTGTCTTGCTGTAGTTGTTTGTAACAAATATAGCCATGACAGACAAAATCTCAGATTATGTAAGGAAGAAGGATACGCTGACACAGTGGTGTTCTAATTTATGCTCCCAGCATTGGATCTGAAAACAGAAGAATGAGTTATGGCACTGTCAGGTGATAGCAGTCATATTGTAGTTTTGTGTAGTCTGAAATATAATTTATTTTCAAGGCCTGGAAGAACTTTCTGCAAAGAGTTGTTAACCTTACCAATGAGGATTTGTGGACAACAGATTTTACATCTTTGTATTAATTGCAGAATTGAGACCTTTAATATTTGGCAGATATTAATAAGGCCCCATTTTCCTTCTTCAAAGATGGATAACATTTCCCTTTCCCAACATTTTTATTACATTAAATCAAAGTGGCAGTGTTCACACATCTTAATTTCATTATCTTTGTGTTGTAATATGGCAAAGATCCCTAAATTCAATTTATATATGTTAAAGATGAGCTGAAACTGAATTGTTTTCCCTTCAGTCGTGTTATCAGTACCAAGGATTTGCAGGCTCTGCAGTTCCAACATGTTATACCCATAGTTACCTAACTTTATTTCTGTGAAGAGATTTCTACTTGTATCATGGTCTAACTGGGTGTTTATGTTTACCCTTACACTGAAATGTTTTTAAAAACATTTCTTGAATACTCATCTCTTTTCTTTTTGTTTTTGTAGTATCTGGGGATGGCGAGTCACTGGTAAGTTTCACTTTTCAAATCTTATTACTATTCTGTGTTTATTTCCATACTGAACTTCCCTTCCTAGACTTTACTCAGATGCTGACACCTGTGGTAGTACATAGATTTTGCTCTTATTTTGACTTTTTTTAGTAAGAACATTGAGTTTTCAGTTTGATAAGACAAAATACTTTGTTTACATTACTTCCCCAAATAGCTTAGTTCTCCTATGACTTGCTCTTCCGTCTCCCGTTATGTCTGTTTTTATAACAGGCCACCTTGGCAAGAGGTCCAGTCTCCTGAAGCCACCCAGCGCTCTTCCTTAGTCAGATCCAAGATCCAGGGTCCCTAATAAATAGTTTTTTTTTTCCCCCATCACAACACAGACACTTAGTAGTACTCTTAGTTTAAGAGCCAATTCCTTCTTGTTAAAGGAATGTGTTCCAATATGGGTTATATATAAGGGGGTATCTAGGTGGAGTTCAATTTCTAAACCAGCAGAGTTTGGGATTTTATTACTTGTCCATTAGAATAGAGTTCCAAGGTCTGAAATAGCCTGCTATCGGAGGTGGTTCAAGCAGCTACACTGAACACCTTCAAAAGAAATTTGGATGCTTATTTTGCTGGGATCCTATGACCCCAGCTGACTTTCTGCCCCTTGGGCAGGGGGCTGGAGTCAGTGACCTTCCGAGGTCCCTTCCAGCCCTAATGTCTATGAAATCTATGAAATGTTGTAAAATGTAAATATATGAAAGTTGAAGCCTGGTCCTCTCGGCTTTGATCTCAGATTCTTCGGTTTTCAAGTGCTAATTCTGAAGGTGAGCTATCTGTGTAATGTGTTTATGCTTCTGGTAGCAAGTCTTAAACCAAATTGACTTGTTTTGTAGGATGAAGATTCAGAGTTTACTTTAGCAACAGACTTTGAAATCGGACACTTCTTCCGTGAAAGGATAGTTCCTCGTGCTGTGCTTTATTTCACTGGGGAAGCTATAGAGGATGATGATAATGTAGGTATATTTATGACTGATCTTGTCTGTTTTGTTTTCCTGTACAAAGAATCAGTTTCTTCCAGTGAAAATGGTGAATAACAACATTATTTGCTTGACTGAAACACACAAATGTGTGAAATTTTTTCATGTAGGAATTGGGAAGAGAATAAATGACTCGTCTGAAATCAGATGCAGTAAGTTTTTTGGCCAAATAACTGGGCAAACAGGGTTACAGTAGACTGGTATGCATCTTTTGGGACCCTTCACTGACTGACTGCCTAGCATTTATTATGTCTGATAGGCTAGGTACAGACAGTCAGAAAGCCCAAGGCTAAATCAGTTCAGTCTTTGCAGGTCAGTCTACACTGATTAAACTGAAACGGAAGTGAATAGACATTTACCTTTGATTCAGGAAATGTAGCCACATGCCTGCAGTGGCCTAGGCCAGAAGCCAGGGGATGCTAGAGCATGGCTGTCTGGCTGTGTGTCCACTTCCTCTTCCTGCTGCCCCCAAGGTCTCTCTAGGATTTGCAGTCCAGAATTACAGCAGCAGGGCTCTGCAGGGTTGCTTATCATCACTTTCTCTTCCTGCTTCCAGGTGCCTCTGGGATTTATAGTTCATAGTTGCAGTCAGCAGTAAGCTTGAGTCGGGGAAGGGGTGTTTAAATCCCAGCCCCCCACCCCTTCATAGACTGGGCTGCGTCCCCAGCTGGGTCTGCCTTCCCTGCCCCTAGTCAGCCAGCTCTTGCTGCTCCAGCAAGGGAGTGGAGGGACGGGGCAGCCCTGCTCTCTGGAGCAGATGGCACAGCCCAGCCCTGGGCTGGAAAGCATGCTGCGGGACTGTGATTTAACCTGAACCAGGAAGAGGTCTGGGGCAGAAGTTTCACAAACCAGTTGGACCCAAATCAGTTAACTGATGCATTCAACCAGGCTTATCTTAACCCAGTGTTAGCCATTTTGAAACTGATTTATGTGTACTGAGCTTCTCATCTATTACAGGTTTAAACCTGTTTCTGATCACTTAAACCAGTTTGTGTAACTTCTGTCCCTAGCCATAGAGAGAGGTTGTTTTTTTTTTTTTTTT